ATAATCAAATTTCAGACTTTGGGTAAAAAGAAACGTAAAAAGTATATGAATATTTACAATTATCTTATTATTATGTTATCATTAATTATTAAATAGTACATTGAATTTTGATTATCATAATTGTTTTTATAAATGCCGCAGTTTGTTTTTTTTATACATTTTAGATGTTCTAAGTAGTTCTACGTGGAAGGTGTGTTTGTTTCAAATAATTGTTGCAAGTTTTCCTGGCGAAGGTTGGTAGTTTTCTCCGAGCACTCCGCTTTCCTTTCAATAAAAATTGGACGCCACAATCTAACCAATAGTGATGAAAGTGGCGTTAAGTACCCTGCCACTCTGTGTTTTTGTTAGATGTATTTCTGCTTTGTATCCATTTGATAATTTAATATGAGAATAAGAAAATGTTGTATGATTGCCAATGAGAAAACACTCAACAAGAGACCAAAAAGAGTGACGAAAGATACAAAAGGGACAGTCAAACTTACAGATCGAAAATCAAACTGACAACGCCATGGCCAAAAATAAAAAGACAAACAGACAATAGTACAGATGACGCAACATAGTAAACTAAAGACTAAGCAACACGAACCCCACCAAAAACTGGGGGTGATCTCAGGTGCTCCGGAAGGGTAAGCAGATGATACAGAAATTAACAACTATAAGTCACCGTACGTCCTTCAACAATGAGTAAAACTCGTACCGCATAGTCAGCTATAAAAGGCCCCGAAATGACAAATGTAAAACAATTCAAACGAGAAAACTGACGGCCTGATTTATGTACAAAATAATGAACGACAAAACAAATATGATATACAGCAACAAACGACAACCACAGAATTACAGGCCACGCCAAAAGGATATTACCGAAACTGAACTAAACAATAAAGATTAATAATTTACAAAAACAAATAAAAGAACACTATAACACATAGTTAAGATGATAAACAACGTCAGTATCTATAATCTATACTTCAAGACCATCATGTATTATTTGTGAAGTTGATACGGAATATTTATTAACAAGGTCTTGGTATTGAAAATGATCTCAATATGAAAGGAACACTTAGTTTAACATTGTATGTTCCATTAATAAACATCCGATTGACTAAAAAGCACTCATGAGTTTTTTTAAGTAAGCGTGCTTGCTGGATAAATTAGTAGTTTGATATACTCATATGAAGCTATAAAGTGTAAATATATGTCCTGTAACATACATGTATACTTAAGTTTCCTGAATTATTTCCATAAAAGTGGTTACATTTGTTATTCAAATAGAATGTATCCCATCTTTCTTCTTTTGACATTTTATCAAGTTATATCCTTCATCATTTAGTTTTATCAATAAATAAATTTTAAAGGTCCACCACTGTTTACAATGGTTTCTGAAAGTTTCTCTTATGAATGCAGTTCTCGTGCATATATTGCTATTACAATTACAATAATTTTAATGCATTTCCTGATTGATACTGCACTGACTACTATCATTATTTTTTCTCAAATTTTAAAACACGATATGAAATCCGGATCACGCAATCATCAGTTCACATAGGATAATGACCAGTCATGTAATGTGCTGACGACAAATTACGTTCACCTGCATATCGGCTGATTTTTGGGATTAATCATTTCCGTGTGTATTAACCACAGAAAAAAAGCAATGTTTATTTGTTTATTTTTCATATTGTTTTTAGATTTATTAAGTTTAAGTACATTCAATCTTGATAGTCAGTTGCATGACACTTACTCCGGAAATGCTGCAACCCCATAACACTTACTCCGGAAATGTTACTATCCCATGACACTTACTCCGGAAATGTTACTATCCCATGACAGCTACTCCGGAAAGGTTACTATCCCATGACACATACTCCGGTAATGCTACTATTCTATGACACTTACTCTGGAAATTTTCTATCTCATGACACTTATTCCGGAAATGTTACTTTCCTACGACACTTACTCCGGAGATGTTACTATCATATGACACTTACTCCGGAAATGTTACTATCCCATGACACATACTCCAGAAATGTTACTATCCCATGACACATGTTCAATCCACCATTGTCTACATAAGAAAATGCCTGTACCAAGTCAGGAATATGACAGTTGTTATCCATTCGTTTGATGTGTTTGTTTTTTTTTTTATTTTGCCATTTGATTGGGGACTTTCCTTTTTGAATTTTCCTCAGAGTTCAGTATTTTTGTGATTTTACTTTTTACTCCGAAAATGTTACTATCCCATGACACTTACTCCGGAAATGTTACTATCCCATGACACTTACTCCGGAAATGTTACTATCCCATGACAGCTACTCCGGAAAGGTTACTATCCCATGACACATACTCCGGTAATGCTACTATTCTATGACACTTACTCTGGAAATTTTCTATCTCATGACACTTATTCCGGAAATGTTACTTTCCTACGACACTTACTCCGGAGATGTTACTATCACATGACACTTACTCCGGAAATGTTACTATCCCATGACACATACTCCAGAAATGTTACTATCCCATGACACATGTTCAATCCACCATTGTCTACATAAGAAAATGCCTGTACCAAGTCAGGAATATGACAGTTGTTATCCATTCGTTTGATGTGTTTGTTTTTTTTTATTTTGCCATTTGATTGGGGACTTTCCTTTTTGAATTTTCCTCAGAGTTCAGTATTTTTGTGATTTTACTTTTTACTCCGAAAATGTTACTATCCCATGACACTTACTCCGGAAATGTTACTATCCCACGACACTTACTCCGGAAATGTTACTATACGTTAACATTTTCAGTATAAGTATGTAAAAATTACTACACCAGGGTTTTCGATATCATAAACTAGTCAAAACATTTACTAAATTTTATCATCAGTATAAGGACATCATTCTTAAATACAACTCAACATGCAGACATCTTATACGTTCGGGTATTTCACATCCAATCTTTTATGGTAATATTATTTACAAAGCACAAAAATGTCAGTATTCACCTCAAAAGCTAACAAAACCTTTAAACAGACTTATTAAGAAGGGATATAGTTACGATACTGTTGTCAGGTCATTAAAGATTGCATATTTTGGCTTTAATATTGATTCACTTATAGGGTCTTTGCATCGGAATTAAACATATTTATTCTAAAACCAGTTGTTGGCAAGACACGGGTTATGTTCTTCTCATATATTTTATGATGGTATAATACTAAACCCCTAACAGGAGGGATTGTGCCTGATATTCATATGATGAAGACATAATCTTTCAATCAGTTTAATTGAGGTCTGGAGCTGGCATGTCAGTAACTGCTAGTAGTCTGTTGTTATTTATGTATTATTGTCATTTTGTTTATTTTGTTTTCTTTCCTATTCTGACATCGGACTCGGACTTCTCTTAAACTGAGTTTTACTGTGCGTACTGTTGTGCGTTTGTTTTTTCTACATTGGCTAGAGGTATAGGGGGAGGGTTGAGATCTCAAAAACATGATAACCCCGCCGCATTTTTGCGCCTGTCCGAAGTCAGGAGCCTCTGGACTTTGTTAGTCTTGTATCATTTTTAATTTTAGTTTCTTGTATATAATTTGGAGTTTAGTATGACGTCCATTATCACTGAACTACTTTACATATTTGTTTAGGGGTCAGCTGAAGGACGCCTCCTGGTGCGGGAGTTTCTCGCTGCATTGAAGACCCATTGGTGGCCTTCGGCTGTTGTCTGCTCTATGGTCGGGTTGTTGTCTCTTTGACACATTCCCCATTTCCATTCTCAATTTTAATCAGAGAATGTTAAATATATAAATTTAATGTCTGAAGAAAATAAAAACTGACAGCTATAAAATAAAGGCAACAATAGTTTATCAGTGTATAAAAGTCATACATCGATTGAGAGAAAACAAATCCTGGCTATAAACTTAAACCGAGGGAAACACATCAACTATAAGCGGAAAACAAAGGAACAACAGGAACACTTAAGTGCAACAAAAACAAACGCCAACATACATAGAAACGAACTATTTGAAAACAATTGCCAATTTCCTGACTTGAAACAGGACATTTAAAGAAAAATGGTGGGTTGAACCTGGTTAAATAGCTAGCCAAACCTCCCGCTTTATGACAATGTTAAAAAATATCGCTAAAATGACAATACTACGTGACAGAAATACAGCACAAATACATATTATAATAGTCGACACAACATGCAAACTGCAGAACAACAACGAACATATTCCATCAACGACAGACACCACAATATATCACAATACAGTGACGCGCTTACGTAACTAACATGCAATCTCGAACTTTATACAATTATTTTCACAATACCAGTCCAAACAATTTTCATGACAATGATGTTATGGAAAGGCAATTTTATAATTATTTGGACTCCAAACAGACATAACAGATTATCCAAAAACATATGCTTTTTGTAATGTTAACATAATTAAATATTTTCAGTGTGTTTGTTACTGCATTTAAAACTAACACCTATGCATTTGAACAAAATCGACGTGTATGATAGTTTAAACTACATCCTGTGACGTTTTACAAATCAAATTGCTTTAATCATAAACGTGATTAATTCATCTTTAATATAAGAACAATTCGGACTTGAGTTAAATGCATAATTGATGGTTTTGCTTGTTGCTATGCTATCATGTAGCTATTTGTTTTTCAACTTTTTGATAACCCCTGTCTTAATTTTTATGGTTTTTGGAAACAAATGTTAAAAACATGTAGTAAGTGTAGCATTCTTCCTATATACAATTTCTTTTCACATTTAAATCAATGGTTTGTTGAACAATCCTTGTACATTAAGTTTCCGCAATCCTGTGGTTAACAAAAACTATGACAAACTAGTTATATGTCAAGGTTCATTTAAGATTTAACGTATAGTGTAGATACCGTTCTATTTTTGAAGACCGTATTTTATCAAAATTGTCAATTTGTGTGTTGTTGGAATGAATTTTCTTGAATTTTTTCGAGCATCGATTTGAACATAAATTGAAATTATAATGATAATGATATATCTAATCTATCATCAAAAAACATTTATCCGAAATACTTAATGAAAATTAGTATTGGAAGTTCACTAGAGACGTGTTTTTCGTATTAAGCTTATATGTTGAAAGATAGTTCTCTGGTTTTGCCATATTTTACTGAAGTTCTTCTTTTGTCCTAATTTGCATATCACCTAGTGCTGTTTTCACAGTTGCATCTAAGTTCTGCCAAAAAAATAAGAAAAACATTATACATTTGTAATTTAGTTTTCAATGCGACAGCAACACAACGACAAGCTCTAAACAAAAACAAAACCATAAGTCAAGATCTTTGTTACCCAGAAAGAATCATTTTAAAACAATTTGACACCAGAATAAGTCCGTTATTTTTTTATACATCTGTACAATCTTTTTCATATATCCTTACATATATAATGCTAATGTTTATACTAAAATTGTTTTTCGTGAAGTCTTATGTATGCATGTTAGGAGATGCAAGTTTTGTCGATACCACGTATAAGGTTCAAACAATTACGACAGTTTTCGCCGCGCTCGTATTGAAAACATAGAATGTAGTTAATCCTGTATAAACGCACCCTGTGTAAATCCGAAACCTATTTTAACAGGTTTTATATACCCGTATGTAAAATGACTACTCTTTATTTATTTTAAGGTGTGTCAGCCGGCTCCCTATATCATATGATATGTCAAAATCATGCATGAAGATGCGTAAATCGAGCACCTTCGGTTCGATTAAGCCAGACTTTAAATTTTAACGAATGATTAATTATATAAGAATGAAGATGAGCGGAAACATATATAACAGATGATTAACAGTGACCATATATCTTGTGTTTATCTTTGTTCAAGCCATTTCAGGCCATTTCAGTTGTTATGACTTTATTTATATTTTAAGGATTGCATATGTGTGTGATATTTTAATAAAAGGAGATGTTGGGTATACGTCATTAAATCGATAACAAATATATTTTTCATTGATTTAACACATATTGTTACTAATCTGTATCTTTGGACATGTCTTAAAGACATCATAGGATATGTCTTAAGACACAAAATTGCGCAAGGAAATCTCAAAAACTCTTTTATTTGCTATGAACAGAAAAGGTATATTCCCTCGTACAACAATCGGATTCATTTAACGGATATAGCTATACTTGAGGTTCTTTTTTTGTTTAATGAGCTCTTCAATGTTTGTATTAAATTATGGATATTCAAATAGTTTGGCATCTTGCATCACTCAAGAGACATTAATTGTTAAAATGTACATTTGGTGAAATGAAATTAGAATCGTGAATAATATTACAAGACGGGATACGATTAAAGTTTCACAAAATGTGTGATGTATCATTTGTAGTGAAATAGTTTGTTCAAGATGTATACTATTTTTTACAAGTTCTGCATCTCTACGTGTATTTGATCATATAACTTGATAAATCGAATATAATTTAAACTATAATACATAATGAAGACATTTTAACAATCTTTTATTCCTCTTTAAATGGTGAGTGGTCTTTAGAGACCATTGTTTGTATCTTATATTTACCTTTCGGATTGGAGTTGTATGTCCAAGTTCAATGTGGATCTCATTGGGTATAATCCAAGGGAATGTCCCTTTACTGTGGTATTTGTGTACAGAATAAAACTCTCCATCGGTTATAATTGGTAATGTTTTACCAATTCTGATAGAAAGGTTCTTTGATAACCTTATCAATCTTCTCTCACTGAAACAGTGTCCATTCTTAAAGAGAAATATAAAGCATGATTTTGTAAATGATGATACAATGTAGTGCTTTAACTTTTACTTATCAATATATGCAGTTAAAATAAACAAATAGATTCTGAACGAATAATTTGATTTTGTATTTGAAATAAAAAGGTACATACATGTATACGTATAATCGTAAAATCTGTCATTTGTACACCTGTCACATATAGAAATTCTCCAATCTCAAATGACACTTTTTGCTGCATACATATATACGATCATGATATATAAAGAAGAAGTTATGATAGATCAATTACCTAGCCCTTAATATTGCAGAAATAGTAAAATTCACAAATCCTGTCTTTACTTTAGAAAACACATGTAAATGAAAATGAGAATAAAGAGTAGGTCATTTCACACCTAGTCTTTTATAGTGGTAAATAATGGTTTGACCTGAAGTTTAGATTTGTATGACATGCTAATAAACACGTGATTGGTGATTTTTTTGTCTATTCTTTGTTCTAGAGACCTGTGCTTACATCTGAAACTTTTGCGTTTGATCATGTAGAAGTATATAAGAAAACGTTACAATTGTTTATCGATTTAAATATTTTAGTGTTAGGTAAAAATCAGTTACCAATCCACTTTTGTGTGATCGCTTACCACAAAATATCAACGGATTTTCACGAGGTAATGGATTAGAAATTGCTGATCTTTCATCCGAGTCTAATCCATGTTTTTCATGGATGTTCCTTTTGCTGAATCTTTATTTTTCTTTGATTTTATTGAGAATTGGTATTTTCTAGACGTTATTTGAAACTACAAGCGTACAGTTTTTATTAATTGTTCCAGTTTATACTAATATAAAATCAGAAGATGTGGTATGATTGCCAATGAGACAACTCTCCAACAGAAAACAAATGACGTAAATTTTTAACAACTAAAGGCACCATACGGGCATATATATGTATATGCATTTCTGCTTTTTGATGTGCACGCCTTTAATTTGTGAGCATATTCATATGAAGAGCATAACAATTTGTAAATTTCATTATTTACGTTTTCAAAAGTTTGTTATCTGTTTTGTCCATGATGTCTGTATTTTTCAAATAATGAGCAATTGAAAATGATGTTAATTTCTTTTATTTGGAATACCATAGAAATTCAAATAGAGCACATATAGTTTTATATTTTACCATATAGAATTGTAAAATAAAATTGTAATGTTTTGCTTAACAAAAGAGAAACAACTCAAACTTATAAATACAAAAAATTTATTGAGCTATATGAAATGAATTTGTTTCTTTCGTATTCAAACAGGCGAACAAAAACGCTTTAGTTAGATGTTGTACATTAAATGAAATATCATTGAACAAACGACATCGGTCACAAACGCTAATGCATAAAAAAAAAATCCCCACCATATGTCGTGACCGATAAAAGTAAAATATTGAAATTTCCGTAGACTTTATCTAGCTCCATTTTGCTCCTGAATTTTAACAGTCGACGAACACTATCACGCCCCTTTTAGAGTTTATACAACTCTCTCGGATTTTTGTTTGCTTTTTGATTTATGAAATGTGACCACTGGTAAACTATGGTTGCCTACATTTATAACACGTTATTTATCAACAGTTGTTATCATATTTTCAGAAAAAATACAAATATTCTTTAAAATGAGGCTCAAATAGTTTTGCCAGTATCTCATTACAATTAATACTTGTTAAGTATTTTTATCATCATACAAAACAGCAAAACCAGAACAAAACAAAATATCACAAAAATACGTATGTAGGCATAAAAAGGTATAAAGCTTTAGTGAAATTCACACAAAGAAAACTTAGAACATTACAATGGAATTATGATTGCACACAAAACAAGCGTACCATATATCAAGGTAAAATAATAACATGCGTAAATCTATAAATTATCTTTTCTTAAAGTATGAATATTTGTATAGTATAAATACTCAATTATAGAACTTTTTCGAGAGATACAAAAAACAAATCGACTAAAAATACCTTACCAGATAAAACATGTTACAGACAGTTTAATTGTATATAAAGGATAATAAACAAATCATGGTATGTGTGTAGGTCGCTCACCCATTATTATGTAAACCAATTCTTTTTTCGTTCAGTTTTAGAATCAATGATCTAAACGAATGTGGCAGTGCCGATAAAACAACTGCATAAAAATTAATATATTTGAATTAAGTAAAAAAAACTCAACATCAACAGATAGTGGAATGAATGTTTTCCAATTTCCGTATAAAGTTGTATTCGGTTTAATTATGATAAAAGTTAATGCCCATGTTAGTACAAACCCGGTAATAACTCTAATTCGGTAGATCATATTCGGGGAAAAGTGGACGGGATTGTAGTTACGACATGTGGAGCATACCCGTTTTCATCTGTGAAACAAATATTCCATAACGGTCAACCAATTCATGATGGCGTCCGTAAAATTAACGAAGGGATGATTTCAACCTCACCACTGGGAACTCTTGGTTTAATAGCTTCTTTATGAGAAGCAACCCTCTATCAAGGAAATCATGATATGAAATACAAGTCCTTGAATATCGTATCAACTGGGAGATATATACTCCGTCTGCAGGCGCTGCTTGAATGTTGCTACATAGAAATGGAAAGTTCATAATTGGGAAGATGAAATTATCTCTTTTGTCGTAAAGGTTGTTTTCAACCGACCCTCATTGTCAATTTCTAGATGAAAGTCAAGACATGAGGCAGACTTAACTGTATCTGTTGTAGCCTTAATCTCAATTTCGATGGGATGTATTTTTAAATGATACATTCCATGAACTAATTAATGGGAGGGGGGGGGGGGAGTGATTCCGTTGCTTTAGTCCAGGGAGTTTTCGATTTCAACTTTCAAATGTTTCCAGCCAGTTAAGTACAGTTTTATATACTTAAAAAACATTGCAAATAATACAAGGTTCAACTATATATGAGAGTGGTCTATGGCTATCAAAAGCAGACAACTTGGTACAATCATTACCACAGTGTTGGTCCAAAAGTGCTCCTGATTTTTTCGAATTCGACAAGATACACTCCTTAGAATCTGTAGCATCATACCGTACGAATGTTGAGTAATTTGTGTTTTACAATATAATATTAGTTACAACAGCATACACATGCATAGTAACATTTACATCGTGTTAACGGTCAAATAAAGTGGTAGTTCTCATTCTCTGTGGTCCAGTACAAACTGATTAGAAATAAAAAAGAATTCCATATATGACAATGATTCATTGATTGGTAGATGTTTGGTTTACATCCAGTTCCAGGTGTTCATGCATTTTAAGTACGAGAACAAGTCAACAAAATGTAAATTCTGTAAAAATGGTCGTTCAAGATGCAATTTGGACTTGCAGCGGAAAATGAGTGGAAATGGTATAGAACGGAAATGTCGACTAGAAACAGGCTCCATTCAAGGAGTTGTTGCAAGTGTTCCTATCATGTAGAAAGTGAACACAAGGCATTGGATTTAAAGTCCCAGTTCTGACCGGACTTGACTGCATATTTACACATTCCTCACAACCAAAAGAACGCTTAGAGTTTTACTGCTGGTCGGAAGAAGACCACAAGTGACCATAATTCTATTCCAAAGTCATTCATGGTGTTCCATGTGTTAGAACAGTTTACAACAGTTAAAATATGACGACTTAATAGTGAGGTTAAGATGAGACAGTATATATAAATGCCCCAGAAATAAATGTTTATTTACCATTTTGTTGTAAGGTGTTTCCATAAAATTCCCGCGCTTTTGAATGTGTACGCTGCAGTAAATGAACGTAGTTGGTTTACCGAGAAAATTACATAAATCAAATAAAAATATTCTTAATATTGTTTTGAGAACAACGAATTTATAAAATGCAATTTAAGAAAGGTATCATGTTCACTTTATGAAAATGTATCTTATTCACTTGATGAAAATTATAATGATAAGAGGGCGCCACTTGCATTGTTTATTTCCTGCAACTGACATGAAAACACGTGGTCCTAAGGCGAAAGATGATATGGGAATAATAATAGTTCAAATGTTTCAATCTGGTAAGTAAATACTATTTGACAATAGTTTGTTATCGCATTGAATATCAATATCTTAATACAATGATGAGGTTTCTTGTTTGGTGTTCGCACATTTAGCATCAAAATGGCCGATGGAATCGAGATTCATCCTTAAGGATTACTAATGAACGACGAAGGATAATAGTGTTTATCTAAAATCCGATAGAAATGATATTGCTTAGATTTAAAGACTTGAACACTCACATTTCTTTTAAGATGCACTACTCATAATATGGTATTTCTTTCTTTCTCTCCAGTTATTTGATTCAACCTAAGCTCACTTGAAAAAATCAAAAACTGAATTCGAAATTCATCAAGCTAAGAATCTAAAAGCAGTTGTCAAATACAAATTTGCAGGAATTTGGATGGTCGACAAAAAGCAGACATCAAACCCAACAAATGAAATCAGGAACATAACATACAACCTTACATATAGAAAAATAACAAGTCACAACTATTACCCGATCTAATATTTAGTTGATATATGGTGACAAAATCTAGTATTACCATTTTTAGGGGAAACAAAGCTGTCAGAACCATGTTTCAATTCTTGAAAAAAACATATACAGAATGAATTACTTTTGAGGCGTTCTCCCTTCTTAGTTTTGTTTTGTCTTTCAATGTATGTTTTATTCCATAACTTGTTTATTCTAACATCAGAAAACATGTCTTTGATTTGCATTCGAATTTTAAATGCTACTTAGGATGACAAAACTAAATGAAAAAAGATAAAAAACAAGAATTAGCTGATACAAACAGTTTATGAACGTACAACGGAAACATCAAAAAGTGTATGTACTCATTTGTTTTTACATTACATTATACCTCAAGTCACAATAATACTCAGCTGAGATGTTTGCTACTAAGTTAATCAATGCAAAATTGTTCACTCTGTGTTCATAGAGTATGCATTACAGAAACCCGAATTGGTACAATTAATTGCAAATAATTTTTTTTAATTGAAAATATGATCTTATATTCACGGTTGTATTGTCATGGCCGTTTCCTAAATATTGGCGCGAATTTGAATTTGAATTGTAAACTCCATAAAGACAAACAAAGATATTTCCGTAACAAATATTATTTCTAAAATGAAATTGCCCAATCTAATAAACTCATCATGGTGCCAGGATTAAAATTGTGTATGCCGGATGAGCGTTTCGTCTAGTATTGAATATGACCGAATTATAAATTCAAACAGACAGTGGTACACAAAGGTATAGATATTTGTGTACGTGATGCAATACACAAGGTCAAATTTAAATGTGTCTATCTAAATCTATATTTATTAGTCCTGGTGACACATACTTCATTTCTACAAACAATGTAGCAAGCGATTTTTTTTCATAATAAAGAAAGAAAATTAAATAGAAAAATACTTTCATGCGTAACTATTCTTATTGCGTTTCTTCCTTTATCACTTATCACATTTAACATGCCGACCTTGGAATATAAAAAAACGACAATAAACAAGATATGGTACCGTGCTATACTGGCAATAACAAGAGTTTCAAACGTTGAATACCATTAGATTTAACTTAATAAATTGAAATCTTGGCTGTTGTCGTTGCAATATAATATTTAACATGAATATTATTTTTGAATGGTGTATTTCTATAATTAGTTGTACACCATGTCTAAATGCTGTAGGTAAATCAAAATAACACCCTTTGAATTTGGTTTTTCCGTTTAGATACAGACTGTGTTATAAGGTTACCACAACATAAGGTTTCAATATTTCATATTGTTCTCAGTTAATTCATTGAGTTATTTCCCTTTGATCGTTCAAATTTATTCAGTTGAATTGCTTCCTTGGAATTACCAAAATAGTTTTGTTTTAAAAAATAAAAAAACAAAAAATAGTATAACCCGACTATGAAAAATTTCATCATATCAAGCTCATAAAATATAACAGAACAAGCTCTGTCATTTTTTTTTATAATGTAATTTTTCTCTATTCTGTACAACAAATGAAACCAACTACAGTCAGCAAAGTGACTATATGCTATTTTTTATTGCTTTTTTGCTAACATTTTTTTGTTTTATAGTGATTTAGATTATAACGTTGGTTGACTGCTGTACTCCAATTGTTGACATTTTTACCTATTATGTCTGTTTGCTTTGCTCATTTTTTGTTGTCAATATAAAAGAATCCTACGCGACTGTCATACAAGTGAAAGATTAGAGAGAGGTGAAAGATATTAAAGGGACATTCAAACTCAAAAGTCAAAAAATAAACTGTCAACGCCATGGCTGAAAACGATACAAGCCACAGTACACAAAACACAACATAGAAAACTAAAGACTGAGCAACACGAACATGACGAACCCAACCAAAACCTGTGGGTAAGCGAGCTATAAATCAAGATTTACCCCACCATTTTTACATAAGGAAATGCTTGTACTAAGTTAGAAATATGCCAGTTGTTTTTCATTCGTTTGGAGTGGTTGAGATTCTGATTTGGCATTTGATAAGGTAGATTCCGTTTTGAATTTTCCTTGGAGTTTAGTATTTTTGTTATTTTATTTTTTTACAGATATGTTTATGTAAGTTATTCACATAAATCAAGTTTGAATACACTGACTTTTTATTAGAAATAGTTATTAAAACCATGAGCATTGTAGTTGCTAAGCTGAGGTAGTTATAAGATGATAAGTAATACTGAAATTTTTAAAAAAGTTTGCAGATAAACAGGATGGCAATTGGTGTCTGTATGCCAAGATAACGTCCAAATACAAAATTCTTCTTAAAAGGCAATTTAAATGTCTTTAACTATTTACCTACTTTTATGACAATAACTTATCCATTTGAAAAAAAAACAGAAGTATCTAAATTACTAAATGAAAAGAAAAAAAATCAATAAAATAAGTTAACAAGACCTAACACCATTATTTTATGCAATAAGTGTCGTTTAAACTTGCATTTATTTTCAGTATGAGTGTTTTCAGTATTAGCTGGTAAAAATATCGGTTTTTAAATAGCTATCCTTACCTTTTTTCTGCTTTAAAGGCTGTGTGTGATCGCTTAGTATTTGAATTTAGATTACCGCCATGATTGATCATGAAAAACTTGTTTTGATTGGTTCATCGTCATTTGAAATACACATATGTAATCTGAAGATTATTCCAATACTATTTTTCATAACAGATTCACTTTATAGAGGGCATTTAAATATTTAAAAATAGGCATACATACTTAGTCTGTATTTAAATGAAATTAATTTAACAAATGGACACTTGTTTCTGTTTAATGCATCAATTAACTCGACCATTTTTCCATTATTTAAAATAGACGTTGATAAATATGGAAATTGCTACGGCTTGAATAGTAGGAGGAGAACATGATAATACAGAACAATACACTAGATTATAATTATATAGGACAACACCCATTCACAAGTTAAAAAGACCTATCTTAAACTAGTTTTAGGAATTACACGTATTGATTGATTTATATTCTAAATACAAAATGTTTATCATGATTATATAAGATTAATGCGGAAGCAAAAGCATGTAATTAATGTTTTAACGGAAAATATATCAAAATTATGAAAACTTCCCATTTCTCAATTTTTAATTGTTAGTTTTAGAAAAAGACAACATGTTTATAATATTTATAACACTACAGTTTTGTGATGTGCAAATAGTATGCAATATAATTAAATTTTAAAGTATCTACCATTTTCTAAAAAAATGTTAAAAAGCAGTCCTTTTCATACGACACGATTAACTCTTTGTTGTGCAGTGTTTATGAAAAACAAAATATAGTGTTTTAAGACTTTTTGTCAAAATCTATATGCTTGAAAATTCTAGAGTTTGAGCTTAAACTCAAACTATGTACTACCCCTTCCTTTACATTGATCCATCCTGATAATATATTTGACCACAATCCAACATTATATATACTGATAAAATTCCCAAGTTGTGTCTCTATCATGTCTATGTGATAAAACATGGGAATCATATCATTCGGAGAACCAGTAGGTTTGCAAATTCAAAAATATATGAATATTAAATATCTCCCCAAAGATGGTTGGTGTGTGAATCAGCTATATTTACAAAGTGCAACCAATTAGTTAATAACACCCTAACTTTTGTGATAGATATCGTATATATAGGTCTCTTGTTATCATTATGAGGACAATAAAATACCTTCGAAACATTTATTTTAACAAAGCAAATGGTGTTTCAACGACTAAGTTTAAATAAGAATGTCTTTGTTCAAATACAAAATTATAAAACTAGTCGTTAATCAAAGATGAGAAAATATTGAATATAAGTCATAATTAAGAATACAAATTATAAGATACTCAATTATAGTCGGACCCGTGCTTTTGAAAAAGTCAATAAAAGTAAGTGATGTAGTTCGGTAAAAATGAAATACGTTCAATACACCATATGCACATTGTGCATTTCCTTTTCCTGTTTATCAACCAAAGTGTAAGTTAATCCGATATTCTGGGAGTTTGTGAAGGTATTTCGTATCATAATTCAGTAGATTTCTAGTAATATAAATACAGGTTCTATATACAGGTTTTCAAACATAAATAAGTAAGATTTTAACCACAACCTCAGTCAAACTTTTTAAGAGTTCACATTAATTGCTATTTGTGCTCATGTGCTATTTTTCCTTTCAACCACGTATGACAATTCCTCATATCAACCTGTTTATTCAAAAGAACAAAGACACATAGACAC